ACGCCTGTTCAACGAGTCCAAAATAGCTCGTTTCGTTCGTTATTTGAAAATTTGAGGCCTAATTACGTATTCCGATGAAGATTTATCAAAATGTCATGGGTGAATTTTCTTTCTTTTTCATGGAGAGGAAACTTCAATTACTTGTCTTGAATCGGGGAGAGGCTTACAAATATATAGCCATGACAATTGACGTTATGATTTTTTTAAAATTATACTTTTAAATCGAAGTACTAACTACATAGGTTTAACGTACGAACCATCGCAATGCATTGTTGGAGTGTGTCTCATACATTATGCATAAGGCTTAAAAAGATCCAATGTCAAATCTTTTTGTCAAGATTGAGGTTCCAATCTTGCGCCTGACTGAATATTTATTAAGCACTTAAAACACAACATGGTCTACAGTTTACTTACATGCTTCTTCCACTTGTCAATGAACTTAATTCTGGGTCCTATTCGAGGTATCAACATGATGATATCATTTTCATTAAGCAAAGCAGCTGCTTCTATGTCGATGCCCTGGTCTGCAGAATAAAAGAAAAATAAAGACAAGCTGTCAAGTTCTTTAGAGGAAAAAAAAAATCCTAATTTCAGATACCGCACATTTCATCATACTAGCCTAATTGTAGTTACTTCAATTCCCTTTACAAAATTGTCTGACAACAAGTTGGGGGGGGGGGGGGGTTTATTCACAAGAAGGAAACCAAGAAATACTATGATTAAAGCATGATGGCTTTCATTAATTTTACATTATTTTTCATATTCAGAATTGAATTGTCAAAGAGAAATTTTAAGATGTTTCTGTTCACCAGATGAGGGCACTTGTCAACAATTTTGGGTTCTAGGGGTCTAAATTATTGGGGTAGATTTTTGAGTGCTAACTTGAGCCCAGATTGAACAGTGTGCAGTGAGTGATGTGTAAAGCAAGCAAATAGGGCCATAATGGCCACAAAGGGAAGGAAATGCATCTCCTTGACTTTAGTGCAATAAATTCGGGTAGATTTCCTTCACCTTGTGGACATAATGGCCCGATTTGCTTGTCATTCACATCACTCACTGCACACTATTAAATCTCGACTCAAGTTAGCACTAGTTAACAAATCTACCCCAATAAATGTAAAACCCAGGATTGATCATATTTCACTAAAAATTGTCACATTTTGTCTTTCATACATATTTGAAGAGCGTCAGAAAAAATCCACGCCAAGTCAGGGATTCTTAGTACCACAGTGTCGTGTTCAGAATTATAACCCGTTCTAAATTGCAACACCCTGGACCTGGACCTGGTACACCGAACTGATCTGTGTGACTGTGTAGAGTTGGTACTATATAGATCTAGCACTTTCGAAAACGAAGTGACAAGATAACAGAAGTGGCATTCATACAACAGGCACACGCGAACAACCGTACTTGCAACACATCTGAAATGTGTTTGTTTGATTGATAGTTCGTCATTAAATAAATGCACAGGGTTTTATTATATTGAGTAGACCTAGACTAGGCAAGAGTCTAGACATACAGACAGTAGTACAGGAAAGTTAGCATAAATTTATTTAATCCACATTTGCCTTTCCTAACAAACACAATATCAACCAATAGCAAAAACGAAATATTTCTTTAAAACCCTGTACAAATGAATGGTTTTTATAACTGTATGGTACACTCACTTCGTGTACCTGGACCGTGTCCGTAGATCTATACGACTACGACGAGTATCCGAAAGTGCTTTACATGCGCAGCACACTAACGCTGCATGCAAGTGCAAGTGCATATCTCAAGTGAGTACCGTACGTGAAGCAAAAACAAAACAGCGTCAGATATATGTAGGCCTATTCTGACAAATTCCTTACAAATTATGCTTAACGTAAAGTCCAAAATAAAAAAGCATTTAAGCAACTCACCTATGAAAGATTCGGCGAGGCTCCCCAGCCCCCAGTCATCTAGAAGCTCATCCATATCTCATCGACCGTGTGTACAGTGCAACTCGTGATCGTTAAGTTTCGCAACATTTACCACTCAGCAGGGCAATTACTAGCCCAACAATTGGACATCTGTATTTTGGCAGCGGCAGAGTAAAATTTGCCTAAGTATTGGTCACATAATGCCCAACAAAACAATAACCAACATATATATTACCCAACAAAAAAATTACCAACGTAAATTTACTCTTTTTTGTTCACAGTGTAGGATGCATTCCCACACTGCTATGTTCAGTGATGGCAGAGAGTCATCCACTCCCTGTCTGTTACCCTGTAAGTTTCTCTATCTCTCTCTAGATTCATAAGATCATAGGATGCATTCCCACACTGCTAAGTTCAGTGATGGAAGAAATTCATCCGCTCCCTGTCTGTTACCCTGTAAGTTTCTCTCTCTCTCTCTAGATTCATAAGATCATAGGATGCATTCCCACACTGCTATGTTCAGTGATGGAAGAAAGTCATCCGCTCCCTGTCTGTTACCCTGTAAGTTTCTCTCCCTCTCTCTAGATTCATAAGATCATAGGATGCATTCCCACACTGCTAAGTTCAGTGATGGAAGAAAGTCATCCGCTCCCTGTCTGTTACCCTGTAAGTTTCTCTCTCTCTAGATCCATAATATCATAGGATTAATTCTCACACTGCTAAGTTCAGTGATGGAAGAAAGTCATCCACTCCCTGTCTGTTACCCTGTAAGTTTCTCTCCCTCTCTCTAGATTCATAACATCATAGGATGCATTCCCACATTGCTAAGTTCAGTGATGGAAGAAATTTATCCGCTCCCTGTCTGTTACCCTGTAAGTTTCTCTCTCTCTAGATCCATAATATCATAGGATTAATTCTCACACTGCTAAGTTCAGTGATGGATGAGAGTCATCCGCTCCCTGTCTGTTACCCTGTAAGTTTCTCTCTCTCTCTCTAGATTTATTAGATCATAGGATGCATTCCCATACTGCTAAGTTCAGTGATGGAAGAAAGTCATCCACTCCCTGTCTGTTACCCTGTAAGTTTCTCTCTCTCTCTCTAGATTCATTAGATCATAAGATGCATTCCCACACTGCTAAGTTCAGTGATGGAAGAAAGTCATCCGCTCCCTGTCTGTTACCCTGTAAGTTACCCTGTAAGTTTCTCTCCCTCTCTCTAGATTCATTACATCATAGGATGCATTCCCACACTGCTAAGTTCTGTGATGGAAGAAAGTCATCCACTCCCTGTCTGTTACCCTGTAAGTTTCTCTCTCTCTCTCTCTCTCTAGATTCATAAGATCATAGGATGCATTCCCACACTGCTAAGTTCAGTGATGGAAGAAAGTCATCTGCTCCCCGTCTGTTGCCCTGTAAGTTTCTCTCGCTCTCTCCAGATTCATAAGATCATAGGATTCATTCCCACACTGCTAAGTTCAGTGATGGAAGAAATTCATCCGCTCCCTGTCTGTTACCCTGTAAGTTTCTCTCTCTCTCTCTAGATTCATTACATCATAGGATGCATTCCCACACTGCTAAGTTCAGTGATGGAAGAAAGTCATCCGCTCCCTGTCCGTTACCCTGTAAGTTTCTCTCTCTCTAGGTCCATAAGATCATAGGATGCATTCCCACACAGCTATGTTCAGTGATGGAAGAAAGTCATCTGCTCCCCGTCTGTTACCCTGTAAGTTTCTCTCTCTCTCTCTAGATTCATAAGATCATAGGATACATTTCCACACTGCTAAGTTCAGTGATGGAAGAGAGTCATCCGCTCCCTGTCTGTTACCCTGTAAGTTTCTCTCTCTCTCTCTAGATTCATTACATCATAGGATGCATTCCCACACTGCTAAGTTCAGTGATGGAAGAAAGTCATCCACTCCCTGTCTGTTACCCTAGAAGTTTCTCTCTCTCTAGATTCATAAGATCATAGGATACATTCCCACACTGCTAAGTTCAGTGATGGAAGAAAGTCATCCGCTCCCTGTCTGTTACCCTATAAGTTTCTCTCTCTCTAGATTCATAAGATCATAGGATACATTCCCACACTGCTAAGTTCAGTGATGGAAGAAAGTCATCTGCTCCCTGTTTGTTACCCTGTAAGTTTCTCTCTCTCTCTCTAGATTCATAAGATCATACACTCTTAAAAAAAAACGACCAAAATGTGGTCATTTTTAACCACGTCACCGGGGCCAACTATGCACCTACTACAACCATGGTCATTTTGACTACGTTTGCCGTGGTCATTTGAAATGACACCGTATCGTGGTTAAAAAATGACCCAAACGTGGTCAATTTATGACCCCGTTTCCGTGGTCAAAACAACACGTGGACGTGGTCATTACGTGGTTATTTCATGACGTGGTTAAATTAATGATATTATCTGAACATCACCATTCTTCTATTCTCTTTCACGCATCAGGTCACTTTTGACAACCAACCAAACGACAAGTTATGGAGTGCAATGAATTTTCGGCTCAAATAAGTTGAATTTTATTCATATTTCAGAAAACAGTCAATTCGAAAATGAGGAAATGTAACATTTATACAATAATTTACATTAAATGTTTCATGTAGTTTGACCATATTGGTATATAGAATGTGCGATACTCTTATTTTCATATTTTGACCTAAATGAGACCAATAAATATAATTCCCTATTTTCTATATTTTTATTATTATTTTTTTTTCTAACAGACTGGATGATTCTCGGCTGAAGATAATGAAGATATCACTATTAATTGATCATAATTTAAAACTTGAAATAAAAAAGGTTCTATGACTGTGCCGAGTGTGCTTGTTTTAGCATGTTTGCCACAAAGGCGCGTTCACTGGACCATTTTTGATACATGCGCTATATCAAGCGCTCGTATGCTCAAATTTAATCCAACAATTGATTTTGCACCATGGACTAAAATAAACCACCTTTTTGTGAATCACCCACATAGTTTGTATTTAGTGCAGAGGTTAAATGGACAATACAATTTAACAGATCATACATGTAGTTTAGGTTTCACAGTTCAAATCTATACTTCTTAATTTCTTATGGTGAAAATGCAACTTGTTTTTTTTTTTTTGGGGGGGGGGGTGTTTTTTTGTTTGCGGATAGTATATATTATTCCAAATTCCTACTCTCAATATAAGGTTTGTAGCCTTCAAATGAAGGAATTGTTTCTCGAAATAAAAAAAGTAACTACAATATTTAAGAGTGAGCAATAAAAGTGTAAATAATTCATCATTCTCATAACCAAACACATTCGTAAACATTGCAGGATTATAAATCAACTCGCATCCTTGCTTCCCATATATGCACACATGAGCCAAGTATGAAGTTGAGCTGTTCAATGTTTCAGAACAATGAACAGGGGATGGATGGGCAGACAACCTGAAAGTTACATGCCTCTAGCTGGCACCCTCCATCTGTAATTGGCACATTTATAAACAATTATAATATTATTCAAGACATATCACAGTATTTCCAGAAACAACAGCTGCTTATACAGTCAAAATGAACCTTTTCACATAGACCTGCTATGTCAAACATATATACAGCAAGAGAAGCATTAGAATACATGAAAATTGTCTCATGCACAAACTTTGAAATTCTTTAGAATTTATATTTTCCTATGATAAAGAACAATGGCAGTTTAACCCCTCTACAACATAACTCGAATTATTTTTTGACGGGGGTGTGCCTCACGGAACTCTGAAATGGGGGTCTGAAGAGCAGACTACAAGCACAAAATATAGGGTCTTTGGAGCTACAAAAACCCTGAAACGGGAGTTAAGGGGACTAAGGAGCTGACTAAAACTACAAAATACATAGACTTGGAGTTACCAAATACTTACTGAAACCCGTCCAAAAGACTAAACAAAGTCAAAAGTTGCTAAAAACGGCTCAATTGGTGATCTAAGGAGCTGAACTAGAAGAGAATAATGGACTTGGCGATAGTCAAATTCATAGCCAAGTCATTTCGGGGGTCTTTGGAGCGGCAATTTGTGAAAATTGGGTATCTTTAGAGCTGTGATCAGGTGTGAAAAAGGGGTTCTTTTAAGCGGCACATACCCGTCTGACTTTTTACATGAGTGCCCCCCCCCCCCCCCCCCCCCCCCGGGGATGCTACTGGACACTGCCCCAACTTCATGAAATTACGCAATAGGCGGAGGGCCAAAGTCGAAAAAGTGGCTTCCTTAATGGCTTAGGTTGCCAGATCTCTACAAGTTTAGACTGATTTTAATTGCAAGTATTTTTAATAAAACAAATTAATTCAGAGGTCTACCTCAAAAAATTTGTTGCGAAACCTCCAAATCCAAGATGGCGTCCCAAAAAGCAGTTGTTTTGTCTTGCGATATCTAATTGGCGAGATTTCCCAAACGACACCTGGAATCAGCATTATTTGGCAAGCATAGTAAAGACAACATAATTTCCTTTAATCTGATATCAAACACCACGGGGTTTACGATATCTAACACAATCATTTTTAGCCCCAAACTCAAATTTTAGGCATTTTTTCCACAAAATATGAAATTATTGATTTACATAATTACGCATAAATCCATAACTGTATCAGCAGGTGAGACAATACTTTTCAAAAAACTGTCCCATGATATCAAACAAATTACCGTGTTAGATATCGTGAACCCCATGGTGTTTGGTATCAGATTAAAGGAAATTATGTTGTCTTTAACATGGTCACATAAATGGTCACAAATATAGCAAGACAAAAACGACTGCTTTTTGGGACGCCATCTTGGATTTGGAGGTGTTCGCAACAAATGTTTTGAGGTAGACCTCTGAATTATGTTGTCTCATTAAAAATACTTGCAATTAAATTCGGTTTAAACTTGTTGTAGATATGTGGCAACCTAAATCACTTTTTTCTACTTTGGCCCCCCGCCTACAAATACAATTATCTACTGGGGCAAGTTGGAGTTGGTCAGATGAGCCCTCAGGCTACGGACAGATGGGGAGGTACCCATCTTTCCTTTTACATTGTCACTGATCTCAAAGACATATTTCTGCACAAACTCCCATGTCGTATAACATTGAGGCGCATACTCTACATCAAATACATATATCATCTTAAAGCAAAGATCAATGGCCTTCAAAAGGGAAGGGGCTGCCATGGCCCTTCCCTCAAAGATGACGAAAGCTTGGGCGGGACGAGAGCGCTCTCCTAGAAGAAGAACAAACGGTTGCCTTCTCTCATCTTCAAGGATTTCATCGAGGTACCTCGGTAGATTTGTTCCAACCTATGAAAAAAAAGAAAGATTATTCACATTTTATTTCCACTTACAATAGCATAGTTGCCACTGAATTATTTAAGAGTTGCCAACCTTTCTTTAAAAAGAAGAAAATTTGTATTGACTGTGTACAAAAATCAAGCTTTTGCACAATTTTAGGAATGGTTGCAAAAAAAAACTAAAAAAAAAAAAAAAAGGGCCCCAAGGAAATCCAGTGTTCTGCTGATAGAGCTACTCTTTTTAAATATATGAATTAAATAAATAAATAAATGTATTTTTTAGAAATGGGCATAAGAAACTGTAAGAACGGGTGTGGCAAATTTGTTCTGTAAAGCTGCACGATACTGGGAAGTTAAAATGTCATCAATTGTCATGACGAGAGCACGTCACATGTAAATATCGCACAGAACGTCAAGGGGTGGATTCCATATTTTGGTAATATAAATTAATACCAAAGTAACATATATCCATATAAATAAGCCCAAGGTAATTTTATACGACTATGCTTTCATTTAAAACTGATTACCTCTCCTTTTACAAAATTATTCGCGCCGATTCTGAGCTTAGTCACATGTGATTCTAAAAGGTTACACCAAATTGAACACATGGGACTGGACTAGAAATCGCCGTGATTTATTTTGTAAGTGAAGAGTTAATCAGTTGGAAATGAAAGTATACCCATGCAAGATCACCTTGGGCCTATTAATATGGATATATGTTGCTTTGGTATTAATTTTTATTCCCGAAATATGTTTTTTGGGGAGTTTTTTTCAAATAAAAAAATACGATTTTTTTTTTTTTTTTTTTTGCCGATCATCTCCGATCCGATTTTGAAGATCAACATTTTTTTGCCCATCCGATCATACGATCCGATCATCAAGGTTCACTACACCACTACTGAGCGCCCACCCGCCCGCCCGACTGGCCAACATCACGCTGATTCCTATAAACCCCCTTCCAACTATAATTGGCGGGGGTATAATTACAGTGTATTATCCACCAGAATACAGCTTTCCGACCTGTTAGACAGTATCGGAATCAGGAAAGCATTCTTGGTATATAAACTTAGCCCTAAAGAAATACCTGTAGTGTCCTACTTACTGGTTGCTGATCAATGAAGGCATTCAACGCCTCGGAGTGTGTGGCATTCCTAAACCGCCCTGGTGTGTTCCTCATCCTCCCTGGTGCCAGGAACAGGGGGAGGCACTGGAGGGCAACCTGGGGATCCTCTGCTGTATTTCGAAAACAAGGAAATGGAAACACATGTAGGAGAGGAAGCCTTTACATGCCTACAAAGTTTAAAAACGCCATCCTAAATTAAACAAAAGTATTTGAAAGTATCATACAAGAAGTACATTATGCTAAAACATGTCAATTGTGAGACTGCAAATGCATAATTGAAAATTACCTTTTCAAAAAATCTAAAGGTTATGGGTACAGTGGTTTTCAAATATTTTCGGTTTCCTTCACACTTTCTAAAACAATCTCACAACTTTGCAAACATTCACTGGACGTCTTTGTGACAGTGCATGTATTTCTCCGTATTGTCAATATTTGGTAAAATCAGCAAAGGTTCTATTTACATGAATTTCAACCACCCCAAAAATTTAGCATTCAGATAAAACCATTTATATAGGCCTAAAGACTGAAATATCTGCAGAATTGTCTTTTGTTTGTGGGCAGGTGATCTGTAGTAACTCCTGATAGACAGACATACATGCACTGAACCATGGGGATAAGTGAAAACAATGCTTATAGACCATATGTTATAAAACCAAGCTGCCAAAACACCGGCAGTTCCAAGAATCGGAAGCAGGAGGGTCTGTCACATTACCAATATAGTTGGGCGGGAGGGGAGAAATAATTAAACTCTACAAACAGTTCCATTTCCAAAGTGTTTGTCTGATTTTGAATAAAAACTAATATAAGTAACACAAACTGAAAGATAAGGTCATCTGAAACTTATAGCAGGCCTGGCTAAGCTTTAAAAATTTACCAGTTTTTAGGCTTTGGAAAACGTCCCCAAGGGCAACACCGCTTCTTTGAAGCTCACAGTACTGCAAGATCTGGGCAGCCAATTCTTTAGTCCATTTCTTTGATAGTTTATCCGACTTGTTCTGACCTATTAGTGCACTGAAGTCTTCTTCAATCTAGGGAAAAGATAGAAAAGATATGTTTGACCCCCTTACAATAGAGAAAAAGGAGTAAATCATATAGAGGGACTGAGATTAAAGAAACCTGGTCAAACACCTATGTCACAAAGAAAGGCTAAGTACTGTTTCTATGATTTTAAATATGGGTGAATCATACTAAAGCCTAAAAGGGCTTGGGGAGCATTTCTCCTTATACAATTTTCACCCCAAAATCACCCTATGCAATTTACTTTTTCTTTTTACCATCAAGTCATTTGTGTCTTTCAACACAAATATCACAAGACTGAATCTTCTAATATCTTTGAAGCCTTTAGAAGGCTTTATTTTGCCTCCACTTTTCATGAAATTCTTCTTTACTCATCATCATAAGCACAATAAAACCTGTGGCCTCTTGTATTTGACTTTGGATCATAGAAAAAATAACAAAAATATATATATATCAGGGCTCGAATTTAGCGGTGGCCCGGTGCCAATGGCCACCTAAAACGCTGTCGGGCCACCTGAAATCACCGACTAGATGGCCCGGCTGGCCACCCAAATATTTGGACAGTAATATATAAATTATTTATCAACAACTTGTTTAACCTTTCTACCCGAAACCGAGGCGACATTAATTGGTAATAGCGATGTAGCTCAGAACGCCTGATGGTCTTCAGACTGTCGGGCTGAGCATTCCGAGCGGACTATGGCACAAATGGGTCATCCTGATAAACAGAGACCAGTAATAAACAACATAAAAAATGTCTTATTATTCCTCATCTGAATCTGATATCATGATTAACCTTGCAAGGTTAGGCTGTGAAGATAGCTTGATCTGTGACGTGTTTATATATGCCTTTGCAATGCAATGTTTGCACGTGGTCAGGGAGAGAGCTCCCTTCATGCAGGGACATGTCTAGCATGTACCTGCTGCATGTATCATTGCCATATGAAATTATGTGGAAGTGTGTAACACTCACACCCAAGACACACCCTGCAATGAGCTGATCCAAGTTAGTGACCAATCAGGAAGGTTCTCTAGCTATGTGGGTGGAGTTTGATACCAGCATAAATTACAGGTTGGTGACCGCACGTACTTTCACACAGTTCAGTGGGAGTCAAGAAGCCATGTGCTCTCCATCTGTGTGTATGCACATGTACAGTGTGTGGGGCGCCGATGTTTGAGGTTTGTGTGTACGTGTGTGTGTGTGTGTGTTGTGTGTGTGAAAGAGATCTGCATGGACCAGGCAGGGACATGAGAGAGTGAAGGTAAATTACTCACAACATCCAAGACTTTGTTGATTGATATTTCTAAAACTTCAATTATTATTTTTATCATTATTTTTGTATTTTATTTATATAGAATAGAATAGAATAGAATTTATTGACTCATTCGACCCCCTTCTGGGGTATGAGAGTACAACACATGCACATGTCATGATAATGATACATAATAAAGAATACAAACATAGCTTAATAATACAAAGAATACAGAATACAACAAAACAACAATATAAAAGTATAACGATAAATAGGAATGATCTAAACCTATAGCCTATGCTAAACATAAATACAATATTATACAATATGGCAAGCATACATGAAAAGTGGAAAATACCACATGAACAATCTAAATACAAACACAAAGAAAAAGAAAGATAAAAACAAAAAATAATTTTACAAATTTTTTTTGTTTAAATACATTATTGTCTTAACTAAAAAAGAAATTATAAGTTTCATTTTTGTACATGTAAGTGAGTTGTGATTGGATTGTTAAGATATATGCAGACTAACAAAATACGCCATAATCGTCCATTGGACAAACAAAAACATAATGGAATATAATGTAATAAGACAAACAAAACAAAAAGTATACTAACAAAAAAAAACCAAAAAAAATGAACAAAAGAACAAACAAACCATCAAAACTATACTTGACCTAAAGAAAGACTGTACTACAGATCAAGAATTGTTGGTTGCTTAATTAACCTTCCACTTCGGGTTGTAACATTTCTTTTATATATGAACATTATTTTAGGGGGGCGAGTCGGCAAGGGATTGATATTAATATTGAGAGAGAGAGAGAGAGAGAGAGACTCGAGGAGAAGGGATGTGAGAGGAACTGACCATAGAATGTGTAAACATTAAGAACTTTGCTTGTCTGAGAGTGCAGTAATAAGAAAAGGTACATGAACACATTGCAGAGAGAAGGGAATAGAGAGGGTGAGAAAATAGGGAAGAGGGCATGGTTGTTTTATTGTTTACAAATTCATTCATGGAGATTACTGCTGCCAGAAAGCTGGCGCGCAGCGGACAGGGTGTAACATTACATTGCGGTTTCTTTGATTATCTTTATCATCGGCTATTAGTTGAGTTTAAATGTTTAGTCACTCAGCATCTAATTTATTTTTGGCAATCAAAACGATCATCTGCAAGTTAACCTGCCTTTCATGCTATTGTACAAAAAAAAAATGTGTTGTTAATATATTTACATACATGTATTTATATTTATTTAGCTTTTTGCCAAAACTTATTCTTCCACAGGACTGGTGCTACTTGGCATGTGTTTGTGTTTGTTTCTTGGTGTACAGAGAAGCATTTAATCACTTGATTTACAGGGTAACACCTTGAAAGTACCTTGCCAAAACCGAAAAGGCAATTTGCAGCCATCCTAATTTATTTAGTTGTTTCAATTTGTTCTTATAGGTAACTGACTCAAGGGCGGGTAGCCCATATATAATTACATGCATGTTCTTCACTGTCCATGCTAAGAAAACATGCAGTGCAATAAAATGTTGTCTTGAAGAAAAAAAGAACAAAAGAAGAAATTCCGACTTAAATTATTTTGAATGACTTGGTGCTAATCTTTCCGTGTGTGGTCCTCTTTAACTGCATGTATTTTTGCATGATTATTGACTGATTATCCAATCCAGAATAACCAGAAAATATCAAAATAATAAATTACAAAAATACCATTTATTCAGTTCAGAATAGAAGTACAACGTCAAGTAAATATACAATCAATTTTATATCTTCCAACAGAACTTGGAGCTCAAAGAAAAGCAGAAGTTTGGCGCCTTGTGTGCCCTGTACAATCCTAACTTAAGGGGGAGGGGGTCCTTGTGATGCATGATAGTCAAGGAGAAAGGGAGAAAAACATTGAAGTGAAATTGAGACAGAAGTATAGAAACAAAGAGAGAGGATTTGGAATGAGAGTCTTAAGTCAAGAGTCACTCACCTTTCATTATTAAATGCAGCTCATGCTGCTTTTAACACGTATAATTTATGCATTTTTTTATTAAACATTTGCATTATTTAATAACGCATAAAAGTGGGGCCACCTGAAAATCCATTTGGCCACCCAGATCTCCTACCCAAGTGGCCCTGCTGGCCACCTCAAAAAAAAGTTAAGGGCAAGCCCTGTATATACATGGGGACCCAGCCGCAGGTAGCCTCGACTGTCGCCGCTCCAGCAGCTGTTCCTGCACCCCACATGGTGCGCATGCCTGTCATGCCTGGTGGTGTCTTCCCACCGTTTGTTGGATTCGGTCAATTGGCCACTCAAGGTTACAGGTTCCCTCCAGGTTTTGTTCCAGGACAGCCACCACCAATGGGTGTGCCTCCTCCTGCAAGAATGATGCATCCATCTGGAATACCACCAGCCATGCAGCCTTCGATTCCGAATGTCAGTCAAGCAACGGCGGTTGGAGCAGTGCCTCAAGAAGCACAGAAACCACCACCAGGCATATCTCCTGGAGTTGCAGAGCCCAAGATGGAACCAAGAGAAGATGCTACACCTGCAAATATTAGCATGGCAGGATTAACAGGCTCGATGGTTACATCGCAACCTTCGTTCGTCATGACGGGTGGTATGAGACCTCGTTTCAACCTACCAGGTTTAGTGCAACAGGGTTTGATTATGAACCCAGGGATGATGCCAGGACAAAGGATGCCTCCACCCAGAACAACCATGTTCCAACCTATGCCTTCGGCGGCGTCTATCACAGCAGCTTCAGTAGCAAATTCAATTCGTCCTATCCAGTCCTTGCTGAATAATGCAAATCTACTTGGTCTCACCCCACAGGCATTGGAAGCAATTCAGAAGACAGTTTCAGAGGCTACTGCTGTGAAGTCTGAACCTCCAAAGTTGCATGGCATCTTGAAGAATGCAAGACCGCAACCTGTCCAGATGCGACCAGGATTAGGGGCACCTCCTAGGCCTTTTCTTGTACCTGGTATTAGAGAAATGAGACCGGTTGGTCTTGCGGCACTACCAAACTCTGGCCAGGGAGATAACCAACAATTAGGAGCTGAACCTAAAGATGCCTCAGCAGTTGGACAACCAGATAGGCAAGACAAACCCAATTTGCCGGAAATGGGAGGGAGTATGGGTCCTCGACCTGGAATGCCAGATAGGCAAGGGCTTGGAAATCGTGGAGCAGTTCGAGGAAACTCTGATAGAGGAACTGGTGAGAAGTCTGATGATCAGGAAGTTGGCCTTGACAAGCTGCAGATGATGTTTGGGGATCGACCTGGTTTGAGACCAGATATGGCAGGTATGCAAAGATTCCGACTTCCCGGACCTGGAATGCAAGCAAGACCAATGAGGCCAGAGTTTGGAGATGTCAATAGATTTGCTGGTCCTGCACTACGTATGTTGCGTCCGATCCTTGGGCAGCAAATGATGCACCGAGGAATCCCCCCGGGTATGCAGATCCGTGTAGGTCCACCTATGCAGAATGTAAGAATGGCTGGTCCATCTGGAGGAGTCCAGTACCCTCCAAACAGTGGAATGCGTATGCCACCTCCGGGGATGGGGAATCCCCGAGGACCCCTTCCAGGTGTGATGCGCCCACAAGGTATGCCTCCCCCAAATCAAGGTTTGCCTCCTACCAATCAAGGAATGCCACAACCAAATCAAGGAATGCCACCATCAAACAAAGGAATGCCACCATCGAATCAAGGAATGCCTCCTGACATGAATGACCCACCCAAGAGGCCAGGACAAAATGTACCACCTCTATTACCTGACAAGCCTGAAGGACAAAATAGAAGAGAAGAAGATCTAAGAAGACAGAGTGGGGCACCTAGTAGATGGAGTAATGCTGCACCAGATGAAGGCAATAAATTCCCAAGCCGCTGGCAAGACGGGAACCAACCAGAATGGAGAAACAGGAACAGAGGCAATAATGACCAAGGTGGAAGAGAAGGCTCGTCTGGTGCAGGGTTTGGCAGAGATGTTGACATGAGGATGAATGAGGGACCACGAGATAGGGAATTCCGTCGCCCCGATGAAGGGGATCACCAAGGAAGGGACTGGAGAAGAGATCGTGGGGATCGGGATGATAGATTTACCCGCGATAGAGATGATCGTTATTCACGGCATGATCGTGATTCTGACAAAGAAAAAGAGAGGGACCGTGGTTGGCAAGATCGTGAGAGAGACCGCAATCGTGATCGCGACAGAGGGCGGGATAGAGATAGAGACCGGGAAAGCAATAGGGATTGGCGTGACCGTGGCGATAGAGAAAGAGATTATCGCAGAGACAGGAACAGGGAGAGGGATAGTGGACGAGAAGCCCCTCCTGGAGACTCGGCAGAATGGAAACCCCCTGGTAAGGAGCCACCTCCTCAAAGCACTGAAGCAGATCAAAGCACCAGCGCTGAAGGAGCAGTCCCAGATGCCTCTGCCTCTGCTCCTGGACTTCCTCAGGAGGCTATCATGAAACCATCTGATACTCCTCAGGCTATGCTTCCCGCCCAGCCATTTGAGGCTGCAGAGCCGAGACAACCATCCTTCGAAGAAGAAGACAGCTACGAACCTGACAAACCAACCGAAGATACCGAGCCAGCTTATCCGGAAATGTCCTCTGCAGCCATTCCTCCATCGGTTCCATCACCAGAAGAACCAATGGAAGACTTAGGAGGAGCTCCTGGTGATGTTCCTGGTGTTGCTGACATGCCTCAGGAGCCTGTTGATGACAGTACTAAGCCTGAACCAGCTAGACCATACCCAGAATCTCCAGTTCATGAACAAGCCCCTCCACCAGACCTTGGCATGCCAGCTTCACCAGACATGCCAGCATCACCAGACATGCCCCAGGCTGCGGCCGAACCTGCCCCTACTGAAACTGCCCAAGTGGAAAGCGAGCAAAGCAAACCTGAAGCTGGACAATCGGAAGCGGAAGAGAACCCAGAAGAATCTTGAACTTTTCTTGTCCGTGCAAAAAGTGCCAATGATTCAACTATTTCATAGTTCACCTATATGCACTGTTCATCTGTGTTATTGCCAAGTGACTGACTTACCTCTTCATTGTAGACACTGAAATAGTGTGAGGTGGTTTTCATAAAAACACAAGGTGTTTTTGTTTGCATCTCGTCAGGTTTTCTCAAAGAATATTAAGATCTCTCGAGGGATTAAAGACATCATATTTCCATCGATGTGTTTTTGTGATATGTCAGTAATTTGTAATCTACATGGGCAATTCCGGAAAAAGTGCAGATTAACTTACACTAATAGTAGTGCACATCTCAACATCCTCTAATGAAATTCCTTGAAATTGACATATAAAATTTTTAAGAATTTCATTGAACAGTTGTCAAGATATGCACTGCTGTTATCATAATGGACCCGACACTTTTTCATGGAAAAAGTAACCACCTATGGTGAATTACCTTACAAATTAGGAAAGTGGAGGAAAAAAAAACTTACGTAGCCTTCTCCCTCAGAATCACGCAGAAATGGGAATGTTTCCACTATTGCCTTCGCCAAGCCGGTCTTGATCTCAGTTGGGGGCCTGAAAAACCACAGGGAGACCCGACATTAAATCTCAAAATAATCATATTCCTGTCATAGGCCTATCAAATGAAAATTCTGTTCAATAATGAAAATGTCATATTGCAGAGTCAAAAGCAATTCACCCTTAATTATAAATATTCACACAATCATGTAAATTTCTGAAACATATTAAAATCATGGTTACTCCTAAACAGAAACATTGGACAATACGTGTTTGAATTGGATCTGTCAAATGATTCTGTAGATCAATGTGAGAACAGATAAGGGCAGACAAGCAGAAATAAGTACCTCACCTTGATCCATGAAGTTTGATCAATCCTGATACAAGAATCCTGACCATTTTGCACCTCGTCTTGGCCGTGCAGCCATCTCTTCGCCTTAGGGCTTGGACTATTTCATGACCATCTGACTCTTCAAGCATCTCAATCACATTCTGCAAATGTGGTTTCAACAAAACAAATAATAGAACACAAAAGAACACTATATCAGTCGGCATTAAAGAGAGAGGGAGAATCATGGCAGAATTTGGTGCATGATGAACATCCTATTTTAGTTATCCCCTAAAAATGTAGTAGCACATTAAATACACCATTTAAAAATGGTAATTTAAAATATCTGTTAAGATATCTAAAAAAATTCAAAAATAATCACCCAGTGCATGTGTAAATGACTGTGTAAAACAAACTTAGCTACATGTATCCTGACAATGAATATTTACCGCATTTTTCTTTCTTTTGGCTGGTAAAGGAAATGGGCATCCTTCTTGGCCTCCTGCTTGCACACGTACTTCAGGAACATCAAACATTTCTTCCTGTGAGAGAGATCAATTATAAAATAATGGTACTTATGAAATGTTAATTACATGTAAAACAAAATGTAAGGCAGTACTCTTTCAACAAATAATACCAATACAAATTAATATTCCTCGCCTATTACACTTGATAAGTGATCTCAAAATCTTTGGATGTCAGTTTCTATTCAGGGTACAAAGATACCCCACATGTCTACCTGGACAAAAAAAAAAAAAAAATTCATTCAATTTGGCAAGAGTTTCTTTGTGTACCAGAGGTAATTTTTCTTGTTGATCAATACCATAAATAATCAATGTCTGTAGATAAAGAAATGTTTGAGGCCGGGCGTCATTTATGTACTAATCTACCATCGTTAACAATCCATGATTGCTTTGCTAATCATGACATAAATGTTCCCTAGAAATCAAGTGCTTTCCATGATGATGAGTAGTTTCAGCACCGATATCTTTTGTAAGAATTTCACTGTATGTAAATTACATAAGCAGCAATTTTGTAAGATTTTATGACACACTTGCGGGACAAAATTTCAAAGAAAGGAGCAGGAGGAAATAACCAAGTTTGAGAAATCCTGCTACCAGGGTCACATTTAATGGCCTATTGATATATTGGCAGGGAAATGTGTGACACAATGAGAATGATTAATGTACCTCAGGGCTCAGGCAACCTTGGATCTAGGGCTGATGTACCACATCTGGTCATTTAGGTAAGCCTTGGTTGCATGAAGAGGCACAAAATCAAGTAGATCATCTATGCCATACGCCTTGAGTTCCTTTGGGTCACTTGGTGTCACTGCATATGCATGCAAATGTCTTGAGAAATACTCAGTACACCATTGGTGAACAACTAGCTGTACATTTGAAGGATCATTGTCAATCAGGAGCACATATATGATCTTGCCAAAGGTAGATTCCAATTCTTCCGTTTTTCCAATCGTCACCATCATACCTGGCCTGTAGAGAGTACCATACTTCTTTGCCCACTTGGCAATGAAAACATCATCATAAACAGGGTAGCCACCTAATGATTGCGCAATATCTTCAGAGTCTTCAAGAGATGAGAGCAGAACTGATGTTCCAGGGCCTACTTCACATCTGTCATTACACAGACTTGCAGTGGCCAGAAATCGGTGACACAATTGAATCTGATGTTTGAAAGCTAGTGATTTTTGTATGTTCTTGAAGTTACATATAACATGTGATATGCGCTTAAAGAAGTTATGCTTCGCTTCAAACCTAATTGTCCAATATTGGCGAAGAGGTCCCAACTTGCGGCATGCCTCTGGATAATGGATCATGTGGTGGTGTTTAGGACGCAGGTGTTCATCAAACACATTACGATACAGCTCATGATGATCTTCAATCAAACGCTTAAGAAAGTATGTATCCTCATTTGTAATCCCTTGTGAGAAAATAAAATCCATACACTCCAGCAAAAGGATATATACCTCCCAAAATGGATTATCCTCCTCAACAAGGTCCCCAAAGATCAAACAAAAATGCCTTGCAAGACACCACATTTGTGATGCATTTTGTCCTGATGCTCCAAAAGGATTTCTCAAGTCATTCTCTGTTATGCATGATGGCTTATTGGGAGCATCTACAAAGCCATAGTCGTAACTTGTAATCCTGTCATTAACCTGTTGTAACGTAAGTTCACTTGATGCTATCAACTCTCTTATGACTAATTTTATTTCCCATGCACAAACCCCTTCCAAAAGGTCGTGCATAACATCTGGAGAGAAATTGTTAGTCACATGAAATGCTTGAAGCTCATTAAGAGAGCATGCTCTCTTTATCCCAGTTGCAGCAAGATTGTTCAATTGCAAATCCTCTTCATAGTTCTGTTTATTTCTTTGTAGATCTGCATTAGCAACACTCTGTATTTTTCTCAATGGTTTGTCTGCTTTACACAGTCTGCATGCATAATTTGCTGAAAAAGATTCTGAAAATCCCAGGAGGCTATGTACTCCTAAATTATCACCAACCACTTGTGCAAGTCCTACTGGAAGATTCCCATTATAAATAGGTGTGACAACATCAATACCATTAACCTCCAAATCCTTCAGGTTATCCACAATAAATCGTACTACGCTTTCAAGTCCATAGTGTTTTGCGTCAGCTGTGTTGTAAAGTGCCACCAAATAACACTGATCCAATGTTGACAAATATTTCAATGGTAAGCTTTTGATGGTCATATACATACATCCAAGTTTATGTGTTCCAGCTTTTCCACTAAGTGGATTGGTTACTTCCACATCATCTATATAGAGTAGAATACGTACTACATAACGGGTGAAGAACTCATGAGCTTTGTAATACTGGCCGTCTTGAAAATCTATTAACAATCCATCATTTCTTTGCTGTTCATGGTGATAGAATATCTGCTCCAGACATCCAGGGGTCTCAAGGATAAGTTTAAGAACTGATCGCAAAGGAATATATTGAAAAGTCTTCTGAATTGGGGTCTGTTCTACAGCACCTGTCACAGGATTAGTTCTCTGCTTGTATTCGACACCGAGGCGTACAGCTACTGGCACCACAAATTTTTCAGATTCTTTTAAGAATTTTTTGAACTTGTGATCAGAATCAACTTCTCTAAAAGGATTTTCTAGTTCATGTAGATCTTGGAAAAGCGACTGAATTTCCACTTCATTCTGAGGATCAAATCCTAGGTTAATAAATGTGTCTTTGGCTTTGGATCTAAAAAAGTTCACAACATCTGCCAATATATCTTTTGTTAGATCTGTTAGGCATGAGATATTTATTATTGCTGTCGTTCCGATGCAGGATCCTGCAATGCGCGCTCCAGAACGATCGGCGCAATGATCAGTGACATGAGTACAAATATTATACAACACTGCGCCAGAACGCGACGGCGTGATAATCGTCCGACTGCAGTTGGATGAATTGATTTAATATTTATACGCGCAGCGCTGGCAAGCGTTTAAGTCGGTACACTGTACATGCGCACGACTCAAAATTATATATCGAGTGTCCCGACATTGACATTTCTATATTATAAACAAGTAGGAGTTAAAATAACTTCTACCACAGCTGTGCGTGTGTTTATAAACATAACATTTACAAATAATTTCTACGTACAATCGTGCGTTTGTTAATAAACATGACGGAGTTAAAATAATTTCTACTACAACTGTTTGGTTGTTTTTAAACATGACGGAGTTTTAAAAAATTTCTTCTAAGACCGTGTGTTTGTTTATATTACATGACGGAGTTTAAATAACTTCTACTACAAATTATGTGCGTTTGTTTATGAGTATCATGGAGTTAATATAATTTCTACCATAATTGCATGTGTGTAATTTGTTTATAAATAAAACATGACATTTACAAATAATTTCTACGTACAATCGTGCGTTAGTTTAAAAACATGACGGAGTTAAAATAATTTCTACTATGTTGTTTGGTTGTTTTTAAACATAACGGAGTTAAAAAAATTATTATTCTAAACGTGTGTTTGTTTATTAACATGACTGAGTTTTAACTTCTACTACAAATTCTGTGAGTTTGTTTATAAGCCTCACGGAGTTAATATAATTTCTACCACAATTGCATGTGTGTAATTTGTTTATAAACATGACATTTAAAAATAATTTCTACTACAAATATGCATTTGTTTATAAACATGACGGAGTTAAAATAATTTCTACTATGTTGTTTGGTTGTTTTTAAACATAACGGAGTTAAAAAAATTATTATTCTAAACGTGTGTTTGTTTATTAACATGACTGAGTTTTAACTTCTACTACAAATTCTGTGAGTTTGTTTATAAGCCTCACGGAGTTAATATAATTTCTACCACAATTGCATGTGTGTAATTTGTTTATAAACATGACATTTAAAAATAATTTCTACTACAAATATGCATTTGTTTATAAACATGATTGATCATGGAGTTAAAATAATTTCTACTACAACTACCGGTATCTGGTTGTTTTTAAACATGACAGAGTTTAAAATTATTTCTTCTAAGACCGTGTGTTTGTTTATAAACATGACGGAGTTTAAATAACTTCTACTTCAAATTCTGCGTTTTTGATATTAAAGCATGACAGAGTTTAAGTAATTTCTACTGCTACAAGTAGGCCTACAACTGTGCGTTTGTTTATAAAAATGACAGCGTGAAATAAATTGTACTACCGTGTACCCCGCGCTTTAGTTAATGACAGAGTTAAAATAATTTCCACTACAACCAAGAAGTTACCTTGCTACAACTGTGCGTTGGTTATAAACGCGACAAAATAATTTCTACTAAATCTACATCCGAACACACATGACGGAGTTATGATAGAATTTCTAGGTCATCACAACTGAACCCAACGCTATATCCACACACACAAAAAACCATGTGCTCAGCTCATGTCCAACACACTGCTTGGGCGTACGTTGGTGGGCGGTGTTAATTGCAAGCCTGTGCCAATCGATAATCAGCTTTGAGACTAATTTCTTGTAAAAGTTTATCGGAGTGCTACTGTATATCCAAATTATAATGAAACTGTCTTCGACTCGAAAAAGGTCTTCTCATTGGCTAAATAATAATTTGCAAGTTTATTTTTTGAAAGCAAATGTTTGTTTGTTTTCAGTTGTCATTTATTCTCCTGAGGTATTCCAAGGGGTATGAAGTCTGAATTGGCAGACTATACAAGCCCTGTAACTTCTTGGTTTCAGCTGGCTGGGGCGTGTCATATATCTTAGATAAGAACTGTCAAAACATGTCTGGGAAATGTAATCACGTACTGTAACCATGGAGATCTCTTCTTATATCTCCATGCTGTAACCCCTCTTACTTTTATGACAATGAGATTGCCTACAAGTATTATTAGGCCACTAGCAGGACCCGTGGAAAATCCACGGGATTCTAGGGGAGGGGGCCGAATAGATAAATAGATAGATAGAGGCCTATGTGCTATCCAAAAAAAATTAGATTATCTTTATATAGAGAATTTTTATAATATATGCTGTTTGACCATAAATGGCGC